AAATGGGGGATTTGGGGTTGGAGTGGGGGTGGGGTGGGGGAGGGTGGGAATTTGTATCAGTGGTGTGGAAGATGGAAAGGATAAGGGGATGATGTGAGTAAGATGACATTTCTTGGATATGTTCTCCTTGTGTTATCTTGAAAATTTATTTTTAAAAGGGTACGAGCTATCGGAAATAACATTTCTACCTCTAAACTAGTGATAAGGTTTGTGAAAATAAACATCATTATGTGGATTACACTGAATTTATAGTTGTTGTTGGTTTAGAAAGAAGAAAGAGGGGCAATTGCTTGGATCAAGGTTGTGCATCCGTCGGTTCAGTTCGATTCGATTTGACCTATTGGTTATCGGTTTATAGACAAGCTAAATCGTTATAGAATAATTAAGATATTACCTTATCAATAATAAGTTTATCAGTTATTGAACGTTATCTATTTAGTTATTGGTTTAAATGTTAAGATTTGATACAAAAAAAATTATATTAAAAATCACTTAGAAACAAGGTGACAACCCAAATGAACCATGCACATGAGTTGATAGATTGCATCTTGCTCAAAAGTATTATTGAAAATCACTTAGAAACAAGGTAACAACCAAATGAACCATGCATATGAGTTGACATATTACATCTTGTTCAAAAGCAAAAACTGATATATTATAGAATAATCGAGAGTTTGAGACATCCAAAAATAAAGCTTGAGTCAAAAACTTTATATATCAAATGGTCTAAATAATATTTATTAATTTACTATCGAATATCGGTTAACCCATTAAAAAAATTTCGAACCGTTAATAACTGATAACCCGATAATAGAATATATTAAAATCGCTATCGAGACTGCTAAATCAACCATTATCGATAAATCAATAAAAATGGGAAAATTGTATGAAATAGCAAACTGTTAATTCAAATTAAATGATATAGCCATAGTTTATTTTATTTGTAATTCATAGCAAACATCCCATTTTTTTGCCATCTGATTCGGATACAATTAGACATTTTCGGTATACAATTAGTCATTTTATAAATTTTGGTATAAAATGCATTTGTGTTTGTATAAAGCCAGAGAAAAGTGTATATACAAAATACATATATTTTCGTCTTATATACTTATAATTATACAAATACAGATCTTATTATACAAATTACAATGTATAAATGAATTTATACAAAACTGAACAATTTGTATAAAATTGGATGTATCTAGCGAATTATACAAATCAAAAGCTCCATA